CTGGGCCCCGGGGAGCGCGTTACACGGTGCGTGCCCCCCTTCCCCCTTGGCGGTGCTCAGCGTTTGAGGGTGCCGGTGAGAGCTGCAGGTGTGCGCGCAGCCGGCTCTGTGCTGCCTGGCTTCGCCGTGTGCAGTGCATTGGGACAGGCGCGAATACTGACCTTCGGTTTAATGTGCTCTCAGTCCCTTAGACACAGTCCTCTGAAATTCATGAACCAGCATGCTTGGCAGAAGACCTAAAAAAAGTCCTCAGGCAAAGGGCCAGGGAGCTGCAGTTGCAAAGCAGGTAAGGAAGGCAAAGGGCCAGGGAGATGTGGTTGCAAAGCAGGCAGGGAAACCTCCTGCTGCTCTTCAGGATAGTCTAGTTCAGGTCTCTTACTGCTGTGTTCATGCTCGAATCTCCCATGCGTCAATAAGATATTGCAGGACCGTGAAAAAATTAAAGTTGCATGGTGCCTGTTTTCCTGCTTTCTCCTTTAGCACATTGTTCTTAAAAGTAAATATCTGATATGCAGCAGTGGAGGTCTTGCAGGGAAGCCACGATGTTGCAATGCTGTAATCTTTGCTTGAGACCTCATGACTCATGTTTATAGTAGTTTCCTACCCCAGCTATGCTGAGATTGAATAACAACTTCATTGACTATATTGAGGTTTTTCTTATGTCTCTGAGAAAACAGAAATAAGAAGACCAGAATATCAAGTAACAAATTCAGGGGTACATATGGGAGAACATTAGGGTGCTACACCAGAGACAGTGAATTTCCATTTTCCTTCGTATGGTCATTTTTTCTTGCAACAGTTAGACTGATAAGCCTATATCCCTCTCCTGTAGCTAAAAGTGAGCTTAGATGTGCATGTGTAGGGCTTTTTTTTTCATACTCCTTACCTTTGGATGTAGTTTTAGAGGCCTTGAGGGGAGAAACATGGTTTAGTTATGGCTGGCAGGTGCAGGAAGGCAGGCAAGTGTCAAAATTAGAAGTACAGCCAAGGCAAAACGCTAGGTAGAACAGTGGAAGAGATAGAGGTAAAAAACATGGTAGAACCAGAATGGAACTTCAGAAACTTTTGAAGGTAGAATAGAGGCAAGTAACATACAGAAAAGGAATAACTGATGAGAATACAGGGAAATATGAAAAGAGTTTGGAATAGCGTATGAGAATAGGGAAGATAGCTAAGATAGTATCTTTTGGTGATTTCCTAGAAACCATTATCCTCATACTGGAGGCAGAATGGTTTAGTTAGAGATCCATAATGTCACCATTGCTCTAATACGAAAGTTTGCGTTTCTCAGTTGGTGAGGTAGTATATAATTTAGTTCATTTGAAGAAGGGAGAAGATGAAAGGTGAAGATAGCTTTCCCCCTCCCCCCCAAAAAAAATCTCTAAAAATATAAAGAGTAAATAAAGGATCTGATTGACATATTTTACTAATTTCTGATTCAATACAGTTAGTTATGCAGCTTGTCATACTGCATGGAGGATTGTTTCTTGAAACAAATATGCTGATGGTTTGTTCACTTGCACATTAACTCAGTTTAAACTGTTCTTGTGCTATGTAGTGTATCATCTGTAAGGTTTTTATAACCTCTTTTTTCTGTTTTATTAAACATTTGTTTAATACTATTAAATTAACTGGAAATGTACCTTCCTGAACAGATTAAGAAACCTAGAGGTAGAACCACTGGATTCTGTTCTTGACTTCGTTTGTTGCTACACTTGCTTCGCTTTCTACACTTGCAGTGTAGTGATGAACAGATCACGTGTGCTTCTGATCCATTTTGCACATTGCTAAAAGGTGTATGTATGTTCCATAGAACTTGAATGTTTGGATCACCATTATAAATATTTCCTAATTAAATCTTGTTCTGACCTTCTTTCCATTCTGTCCAAGTCTGCAAATGTATTAGTTTTGTTTTGTGGAAGGGAGATGGGTAAGTTAGTGGGTGGCTAACCAATCTGCCCAGTGCCTTATGGAATGTTAGGGGCAGGATCGGGGCTAGTAAACAGCTGCTGATTTTGAATACCGTTCCTGGTCCTTAGAGTCGGTGTTTCCCAGCTGTTTCACATTCTCCTTCGGGATTATGAAAGGGTTCAGAGAGCAACAAAATATTTCAAGGCAGTAGCTACCAGCACCTCAGTTCCTACAGGGTTAAAAAAAAAGTTATTACTGATTCACACTAGTTGATAAACTGTCAGGCAGCTTCAGCTTCTGGCAGCACTTCCGATCCTCCATGGCAGGAGGAGATTGTTAACCCTTGTAATAACGACAACTTATTTTTATTCCTCGGCTTGAAAGGGGCTGAACTGCTGCCTGCTTGGCTATGCGAGGACCAATGAGCCAACAAGGGCTTGTGCTTTGAAAAAGGTTTATAAAAAAGCTTAGCACGCTTTGAATAAAAAATGTTGTTATTTCTGAGGCAGTTAGTATCTTAACCAGCAATATAAAAATCATGATACAATGGCGTCTTAGAAGAATACCTTTTAGAATAAGACCTCAGGGATTTCTCTGATACTTATGTCCTTTGACATGTTTTACAACAATTGAGTGATAACCCCCACCACTTTGTCAAATTCTGATTACTGTTATTAATAACATCCCAGAGATGCTGTTGCGTAGCTGATCTGTTCCAGACAGTTGATTGTTTTCTCCAGTGTAGTGTAGGCATTACTGGATCTGTAATGGCTGTGTTTCTCTGTGTGCGAGCATGCACCTTCCATGTGTTTATGATTATAGACTGAGATAATGAGAAGTACGGAACAGTTCTGTGTACGTAAATATAGCTTCTTCGGAGAGATAAGAGTGAAATCTCTGCAGTGTACGCAATCAGACCTGTATTATGTGAACGATGATTGAATATTTTTTAGTTTAGCTGTTACAGGAACTGCCCTGAACTTCCCTGATGTTATCTGCCTCACGAGGCTCAGTATATCAGACGTTTTGTTTTATCATGCCATGTCAGACTATTAGATAGGCTCGGTTTTAGGAAATCGTTGGTTGTGTAGAGTTTTAGAGGAAGTATTTGTGGCTTATTAAGATCTATGTGCCTTATTTCAGTTATGGGTGCCTTGTATGCATTGTTTTGGCCATAGGAATGGTATGATAGTGGGCTTTAAAAAAAAAGAACAGAATCTGGAATGCATGAAAAGTTTAAATAATTCATGCAATGCGATGTTTTTGGGTGTCATCTCTGTTCTAACTGCAGTATTTTTTTTCATTATTTTTGATTTTCCCTTGGCTCCAGCTCGGGCTGTTTGTAGATTTCAACCCTGAAGAGATGCTGCTGGGTGCAGAGGAAGGTGGGGATGATGGGGACCTAGAAGCAGAGCTTGCTGCCATCACAGGATCAAAGGTGAAAGAAGAGAAATCAAAACCAAAAGGGAAAAGTAAGTTAAAGTATCTGAATTTTATTTATTTACAACCTGAATAATTTATTAAAGATACCTATTTACGAATCACTGACGTGTCTAAAATGTTTTTTCATCACTGATAGAAGCTGAAATTGCAACTGCTCTTTCCTTTACTTTGAAAGGTTTAAGTTGTTACTCCACAAAAAGGGTAAGAGATTTTTTTTTTCTGTCCATGCTCTTGTAGACATGAGAAAAAGATATATGATGGCTGGCCAATTTAATGAGTAAATTAAGACATACTTGCTTAGCATATGAAGTCATAAAAAGGTGTAGTGGGTCCTTGGTGAATTCAAAATGGAAATTGTGTTTCTTGTGGAGGGAGAGTGGGTTGTTTGTTGTTTGGTGATTGTTCTGGTTTTCTTTAAAGACTGAACTTCCTGAATGAGCTTTACAGTTTTAGTTACTTGGAATCCGTAACCAAAACTGAATGCCCATTTAAGAGGGAGATCCTGGAACTGATGGAATTACCAGTAGAATCCTGTAACTTGTGTTATGCAGGAGGTTAGAGTGTCTCTTGGAATAGATTATTATTATTCTTAGTATTTTAATCACCTGTTAATTTTGTCTGATAGTGTTTGTGTGCAGCTAGGCGGTGTTCTACAGGATTGCTGTCATCTGCTGTAAATGAAGGCTGCTGCTGAGAGGGGCAGTCTCTAGTGAGCGTGCTCTGCCTCTAAACTGGTATACTTATTTATGGAGCTGCAGGGTGAGCTGGTTCAGGAAACTGATCCATAAAAATAAACTTCAGTTGTTGTGCTCGGTTTTCAGCTGAATCAGTTCCTTGATCTGGTTTGCTGCCTGCCTGTCTGAATGCTGCTGTGGTTGCAAGGGAGGAGTGGCAGCAAGTGGTTGAGATGGGACAAGGAGAATGGGACTTGCTACAGGTGTGTGAGCAGGTGCTGGAAAGAAGGGTTAGTGCAACTGCAGCCTTATTTGCAGCTCTGCAGTAATTTGCCTGTAATATTTGAAGGGACTTCACACAGAGCAATAGGGAAATGAAGAATTTTAAAATATTTAGAAAAAGTGGCTGTCTAAACACTGAAATTGACGAGACAGAGGAGGTGTTTGTATCTAAAACTAAATTCTAAATCATTTCCACTCTCCAGATTTCAGGATTATAGTAAACCCTTAAAGCCAATAAGCATAATTGTACTAATAAGCCCAGTGGCAGAACTGCTGCTGCCAAACATAGGTTACTCACAGTTAAAACATGCAGGGTAGTGTTTTGAGGAGGAATCTGTGTGTCAGGAGCTCTTGAATTGCTGTCAGTTTTTCAAGTGCTGACATCCTTCTCGCCCTGATCTTGTCACTTAATGAGTTTTTTCAGTCTCTTTATTCGTAAGAGGGAAATGACACTTCAGACAGTGCAAAATTCACACTTACTATGCCTTCTAAAGGTATGTGTTATGGCTCGTAAAACTGTTTTCCAAAATCATTTACAGCTATTCTGTTTTCCTGGTAGGATTGGGAGTATATAGATTAGAAGCTTGTGAAAGATGAACAACTGGACAGCTGGCACTGGGGATTCATGAGACCTGGTACAGAGCAGTGATGGAAACATGGTGCATGATGAGGGCAGGATGGTGGCTGGTTCGTAGAAACAAGGAGGGTACAGTAAGGACAGGGGAGAAACAGATCCTGTCTGGGCAAGGAGGGAAAAAAGGGACCCAGTACAATACGTACTAGTGCTCAGTTTTTGGCTGAGCACAAGGTGCAATAATTCACTCCTGAATTTACATTCTAGAGCTCTGATGGAGGGAGGGAGAAGTGATCTCTCTCTCTCTAGCTTGAAGATGCAGGCAGCAAAAGCTGTACTGTTGCAACATCTTAAGTACAGAGGTCTCTGCTGTCTGTGACTGATAAATGCCAGTTGGTCAGCCACTCGGGTGTTGGAAATTGTAGCCTCAACTTGCCATACTGGATTAGAACTGAACCAACCATCTGAGGAGGCTTGCTTGGTTTTTTAGCCTCTAGTGGGGCTTTCTTGTAAGGGACACTGACCCCTGAAGTTCAACCAGTTGCCTTTGGATATGGCCTGCTATCCTAGTTGCAGAGCTTTGCTAAGGGTCAGATATATCAGCAACATGTTTGGTACAGATTCTGAAGCACTGATATGGTAATTTAAATTATTTGAACAGAAAGAGCTTTGTATCTGGGTTAATTTTCAGCTGATTCAGCAAATGCAGGAGAAGGATGGGATCTATTTTAAATCCATTTAAATTGACTGTAAAACTCTGTCCCAAAGATGTATATTTTATGCAACATTTACTGACACTGGTGAGTCATAGTCATATGTCTGCATAGGAAAGTATCAGTGACGTTTATGTGTACAGTTGGGATTTGTGTGCAAATAGCTTCACCTTTGAGAGTGCGTGGAGGAAGTTGATAGTTAAGGAAGATGTGGTTGGGAGCATTAAGTAGAGATGAGAACTTGGCAAGGAGGAATTAAGTAGAGTTTTCAAGGTAAAGACCAGCAGGTTGAAGAGAAATTGCACAACAAAGTAGCCGAGAAAGATTTGGAACAGGGAAAATCTCATGGGCATGAGACAGTCATGCAGAAAATGCAGAAGTGTAGCTGGGCAGAAGAAACAGCCCTTTTTCTGATTTGCTTAGCAGTTCTCTGTGCCAGTGTTCTGCTGCTGCTTTCGAGATCAGGACAAGTGTGATGCCTTGATTTGGAGCCTTCTATTTTTGTATGCCAAATGTGGCACTGCAGTGGTATTTGATGTATAAAACAAGTAGCTTCTCAAGGTAGAAAGATTTTCTGTTCTTCCTTCCTTGCTGTCTTCAAACATAGGGAGAGTTTGCTGTGCCTCCTTGCTTGTCATGTTAATGGCCACTGGTTTGTCTTTAGGCTTGTGTTGTTCAGTATGTCTCTAAAGTTGATGTTGATGTGCGTTATCAGATTCAAAGTATAAATATGTACCCAGTTTAACATGAGGCGGAGAGAGACAGACATTCTTCTGCTTCAGACTGTGGACTGAGAAAATGGATCAACGGTTGGAGTCTCAAGTGTACAAAACTCTAGTGATTTAGTTAATTGTAGTTCAGTTGGGAACTCTTTGACCTCAGCACTATTTATGGTAAATGCCTTGAACTTTGTTCTGATTCATGGCTGTATGTGCTGTTGTAATACACACAATAACATATTTTTGGCTTTGAAAGAAAACGTGAACTTAAGTTTTACTGGCAGGTGTGCTGGGATGTTTAATGCAAGTGTTTGCATCTCATGCATTTAACTATTGGGATAACTCAGTTATATCCATACGTGCAGATCTTTGGGAACTAGAGTACTTTTAACTCAAGTTACCTCAACATGCGGGAGAGAGAAAAGGGACAGAAGTGGAAAAAAGTAGTAGTTTGTTGGCACTCATGGATGGATGGATGTGGACCACTTCTGTTCCATATGGAGTCAGAATTTATTCTGTTGGTCATGGACTATAGCAGGAGTGAATTACATTTTGTTGGGGTAAACTGACATAAGACAAAGGATGCAGAACAGAAAGACCTGATGAGAATGCTGAGTCCAGGCCTTGCTAATATGGACAATCATGTCATAAATACCTTTCATAAATATCTAGCATCAGCTTAAAACTAGTTCAGATGTTTGTTCCTACTGAGGACAAAGACTGTTTCAGTAATTCCCTTTCATGGGTAGAAAGTTCTAATCAGATTGATTCATCAACAAGTTTGTATTAATTTTCTTTTGTGCCACCATTGATTTTTATATTAACTGAGGAATACAGTTTTGACATAACATATGAGAATAGGAGTGTTCTCCAGTTTTTCCCTGGAAAATGGAAGTCTTCCATGATGACAAAGTTTCTGTTACTAGTTATTTTTGTAAATAATATCGGAGAAGTACTTACCTGTATCTTAAATCAGCCTAGGAGCTTGAGGTGACTTCTGGTAATTTTTCCCTGAAGCCGTTGTTTCATCCGGTCCTACTTGTCTGTCTTACTCAATCTGAAGTGTCATTACTGTGCAGACCTACCACAGTATCTTTTTCTTTTGTGGTTAAGCTTTCTGAGCACTGTTGTGTTTCACCATACCTGCTAGTCTATCATGGTGCTTATGGTTTTGCTGTTTAGGCTCCTTGTATTAGTAAACAAATGTTGTTTCTCCCTGACACCTAAATTCTGAGCTAGGTTAATGGGTGCAGTCATTACCCTTGTGTTATTGCCTGCCTTCACTCTTACTCTCCGAAAGGCTGGCATTGCTTTTTTTCTGGATGCTCACTGCCCCAGTCTTTGCCCTTTATCCATGAGTATACCCATATTTACCTATGACACTGTCAAGTAAAGGGGCAGCAATTGGAAAAATCACTGCTCTCTTTCACTCCTTTGTAATTAGAAGCTGCCTAACTGTTACTTAGAGTTTATGGCTCATTGTGGTTTCTTTTTACAGCTCCTCTGCCCATGGATCATATTGAAAAGATGGCTGCAGAGTGTATGAAGGACCTGAATGAAGATGAGGAGGAAGAAGCAGACGATGAAGACTTGGAGGAAGATACAGACCTGTTGGTATGCGTAACTTTGTTAGCAAAAAGTTTTAGTATATCTTTCGGATTTTTTTTAAAAAACAACTGCATTTAACAAAATGTCTGTTAACTTTGTGGTGAGAAGCTAAAATATTGCAAAAGCATTCCATCACGGCTTTGCAAGATCCAACTCCCTGCGCACCAGAGTAAGAGAATTTCCTAACTAACATTCGTGT